ACTATGCCAATTATGTTGCCTGGATACGAAGTTTACCAAAGCGGTGATACTTTCGGACTCACAATCAGCAATAGACTCTATTGGAAAAAGAGAGACACCCAAAACAGCTGAGCTAAAGGAATGTAGAAAACTCTATGAGCTGCTGAGAGAGAAAAACGAAACAGTGGTCCTACAATGGATTCCTGGTCACTGTGGCATTAAAGGCAATGGGATTGCTGACACATTTGCTAAAAAGGGGACAACGATTCTGCAATGCATGGACCGGCCGATGTCTTTCCACACAATGAAGGCCTTAATCAGGAGAGAATTCCAGACCTCAAGGTACAACGAACTCAAAGCTCGAACAAAGGAGAAACAGTGGATAGTGGCACTCTCCGACATAGCCGACTGGCCAAGAATCGAAGCCGTTGCTGAGTTTAGACTACGTACCGGACACGATTGCTTGGCAAAACACCTTCACAGATTGGGAGTATACACTCAACCCACATGCCCTCTATGTAACCTACATGAGGAAATGGGGAAGACCCACCTGATTCGGTGTCCAGCTCTAAAGACAAGGACGGATAGCCAAAGATACTGGGAAGCAAGAAGACTGCTAATGAACTCCTATTGATTATCTGCTATATATGTACCCCCCCCCCTCTTGGGGGAAGCTGAAGTCAAAGATTAAGGGCTAATGATAAATATCATAAAGCCTGCCATTTGAAATAAATAAATAAATGTTCCTTCTCCTCAGTAAAGGTTGGAATCAACTAAAAGGATAGTGATAACTATCAAAACGCCTACCATTTCATATAAATAAATTAATAAGTTTGTGAAATCGGTCCCAGTGAAAATAGGTCTTGAAGTTTAATCAGTTGAACTGTTGTGAGGGTTGTCAATATGCGCAATTGTTTATGTTTACCTATCTAGCACTGCATATTAATTACATTCCGAATAGTTTGTTTAGTTGATGAAATTAAATTAAAATCATCAGCCTCATTTCAATATTAGATCAAGGTTCATCGAATGCAAAATTAGACCTAATGTTTGTAGAGGCACAGAGGAAACACTGGTATATTAATTATGGTTCATAGCAATGGAGGAGACTCCGTTCATTCGGAGGAGAATTACATCACAGTGTTTTTATTTAATACATTTTTACCTTATAACGGATTGCTGCACTAATTAGCCTTGACGATACTCATTAATCTCGATAATAGATTTTCCGATGTTTTTAAGGACTCCTTTAACTAGCTTTGCTACCGTAAAAATATGGAGGAAATACGTGTGTGTGGTGTGTTACAGACAGGGAGCTTAGTCATTATATTTCAATGGTGCGGTTTTAATAAATCAAATAAAAACCATTAATTTGCTGTTGGCTGGGTGTTCTCCGAGCTCACGACCGCACTTATTTCATGAAGCTGCTTATTCGCACCTTCTTGCCTGCCTGAGTACGCCTGAAATTATTTTGTTCAAAGCTGAAAACGTTGTGTGCCTCTCAATCTCACTTTCCCAAATAAAGAGGTCGGACAGTTCTATTAACAAAAATAATGATGATGTTGTAAATTTTTCCTTTCTATTTTTAATAACAATCGATATCACGGTAAAGTCATTTTCTCCAAGCTAGATCTAGTTCGAGCCTATCATCAGATTCCAATGGTCCCAGAAGTTATCGCGAAGACGGCTATAATTACCCCATTCGGCCTGTTCAAATACTTACGCATGCCTTTCGGTTTATGCAATGGCGCACAGTCTTTCCAACGATTCATGGAACAAGTCTTCCGCGGGTTAGATTCCGTTTATGTCTATACCGACGACGTGCTCTTCACTAGCTCCAACCCAGGGGAGCACAGGCAACATCTGCGTCAGATGTTCGAACGTCTACAGGAGTACGGGATCACGATGAACCCCGAGAAGTGCAAGTCCGACCAGGACGAAATTGAATTCCTAGGCCACCTCATCAATGCTCGCGGAATCGCTCCCTTACCTGAGAAAACACAATCCATCCCGGATTACTAAATGCCCCAGTCAATGATGAGCCTCCGTCGTTTCTTGGGGAATGTGAATTATTACGGAAGATTTATTCCCAATTGCGCTCATGTACTCCAGCCTCTCACGGATTTGCTGAAAGGCAACCCAAAGCACTTCCGTGCGACACCAGAGGATGAGTCCGCGTTTACGGAAGTGAAGCAACTGCTCTCTAGGGCAACTACCCTGAATCACCTCGACACCTCCAGCGAGACACGAATCGTTTTGAAGACAGATGCATCTCAAGTGGCTGTCGGAGCAGTTCTGCAACAAGTGGTTAGAGGTGAAACCCATTCGCTTCTCTTCTTCTCCAGGAAGCTTACCGCTCCTGAGACTCGTTATAGCACGTTCGGTAGGGAGTTACTCGTCATCTACCTAGAAGTCAAACACTTCCGCCATATACTGGAAGAACATCAGTTTACGATATCTATCGACCACAAGCCCCTAATTTATGCTTTTCAGGCCAACTCAGATCACCACTCTCCCAGAGAAACTCGTCGTTTGGATTTCGTCTTGCGATTTACAAATGATATTCTCCATATTGACGGTGCGAGTAACGTGGTTGCCGACGCGATGTTTCCCATGGAGTTGAACCAAATAAGAGTGCCCTCACTACATTTGCAAGTCCTGGCCACCGAACAATAGTCGGTTCCAGATTTCACCGAAATCACATCTAACCCTTCGTTACGCTTCGAACGTTTACATCTACCTGACTCCGATACACAGATCCATTGCGACGTTTCAATCCTCAAGCCGAGACCATTGGTCTCGCAAGTATATCGCCGGAAGATTTTTGACCGTTTCCACGGTCTGCCGCATCCGAGCATTCGTTCCACAACGAAGTTGATCACCGGCTGTTTTGTTTGGAAAAACATCCGACGGGATGTCCGTCAATGGGCCAAACATTGCCTCGCTTGTTAGGCGAGCAAGGTCCAAAAACATTTACGCAGCCGCTCTCCGCTTTCCGCCTTCCCAAATCCCGTTTTCACCACATACACGTCAATTTTGTGGGTCCGGGGTGCGCGATAGACTTAACTCCACGTGGTGCACCCTGGACAACGTATTTTCGTATGGCAAAAAAGTCCATCATTCAGCATTTGATTTGACTTCTATTTATTATGATCAGCTGGAAATAAGGCTAAAAGAGTAATCGTCCTCGACAGGGCGAATCACAATATCTTCAGATCCTCCAGTGGAACGCTGGAGGGATGTCAGAGGACAAAAAAATTCAAGTCCAGAAAATCCTACAAACATGTGATACAGACATTTTCGCAATTATGGAAGCAAACCTTTTGGATGACAAATTGAAGTACTATCGATTCCCAGGTTACACCCTGTACCTTCTACCTAAATACCGGGGCAAACCTTTTGGATGACAAATTGAAGTACTATCGATTCCCAGGTTACACCCTGTACCTTCTACCTAAATACCGGCAAGTTGCGAGTGGAATTCTGACTGGGGTAAAAGAAGGCCACATCCCACATTACGATCTAATCACGAGTATGGGCTCGACACAAGAAATATGCGAAATAATTAGATTAAATGTTTGGAAATTTCAAAACCACTTCAAGATATATGCATATGTTTGGAAATGTCAAAACCACTTCAAGGTATATGCAGTCTGGGAAATGTCAAAACCACTTCAAGATATATGCAGTCTATAACCAATGTCAAAACCACTTCAAGATATATACAGTCTATAATCCATTGTCAAAACCACTTCAAGGTATATGCAGTCTATAATCCAAAACACAAGACATATGTGAAATAATCAGATTAAATGTTTGGAAATATCACTTCAAGGTATATGCAGTCTATAATCCACCCCAGAATCGTTTCAAGATATATGCAGTCTATAATCCTCCCCAGAATTGTCGAAATGCAGTCTATAATCCACCCCAGAATTGTCCAAAATTTGACATAAATATTTAGAAATGTCAAAACCACTTCAAGATATATGCAACGTTTGGAAATGTCAAAACCACTTCAAGGTATATGCAGTCTGGGAAATGTCAAAACCACTTCAAGATATATGCAGTCTATAACCAATGTCAAAACCACTTCAAGATATATACAGTCTATAATCCATTGTCAAAACCACTTCAAGGTATATGCAGTCTATAATCCAAAACACAAGACATATGTGAAATAATCAGATTAAATGTTTGGAAATACTACTTCAAGATATATGCAGTCTATAATCCACCCCAGAATGGTCCCAACTTTGATCTTGTGAACATCTCACACAAAACTATAGCA